AAAAAAAAAAAAAAAAGCCACTCTGACAGATCTGCACCTCAAAAAGTAAATAAAATGTGTGCTAAAACATAGAAGAAACCTCTTCAACAAGCAATTTAAGCCCACAGATTAGGAATGCTATTGATGCCATGGGACATATATGCCCACGTATAACATCACTTAGTAGATACGTAGGTAGGTAAAGAGATAGATTTGCACTAGTTATGAATTTGGTCATGTTCTTTCCCCTATCCAGGTCACCACCATATATTTTAAAGAGTATCTGTGCTACAACATGCTTTGGGATCTGTCCCTTTATTACGTTTTTCTGTGTTAGACTGGCAAACTACTTCATTAATTTCCTTCTTTTTACTTATTCATGACCTGTAACAAAGCTTCCTTCTCAAACCAAGGCCACTTGGCCCCTTTAAAAGCTTGATCTGAGGTTTTTTTTTTTTTTTAAATAACAGAAATAATTTCTCCTTTTAGTACTTTCATTGAAATGCTGAAGAAATTCTGTACACTGATATAATTTACTTGTATAGAAACTACTACATTGACCTCGACCTSCTGCAGACCATCTGCTCCCAGCAATTTATAATCATAGCATAATTCAGGTGGGAAAGGACATCAAGAGGCTTGAACTTCTTGTTGTTTAATTTTATCAGCTGAGACYAGCCTTCCTTTTTGACACCAGCTCTTCCAGCAGTCCATCTTCACTACCAGAACCAGACAGAGTCTAGCCTGGATGTTGGCAAAGCTGAGGAGGGGTATAGCTCAGAGCCCAAATTATTATCAGATAGAGCTTCTTGGACACTTCTCTGTGTGATCTAAGAAGCCTCAGACAGGTCCAGAATTCTGAGGGCTTTAAGATGGCTAAGGTACAGAAGTGATGTGTCTCCATTCTCCTTCAGTGCACCTTACAACCCAGTTCAGAATGAATTTCTCTGTATTATCCACACTATGTCACAATAGTCACCACAGCTCTGCTCCAACCACTGGAAATGCTGCAGGCATTTCTGACCACCACCAGCTGGGTTCAGCCACTTGGACAGGAGGGAACAGCAGAAGACTAAAGGAAGCAGCAGGCCCAGAAATTTCCATCTTTGGYGAATTCTGACCATTACCAAAGCCAGACAATATTAATGTTGGCATCGCATTAAGTTTCTTCATCTCCATCTTCTTCCTTTTTTTTTCATAGCTGAACCATCTCACAGCTTTGTTGTGCTTGGAAACAAAATGTGAGTTCCATGCAGTTGARCACAGAGCAGATTGCCTGCACAAAGCAGGCCAGATACCAGCCCACAGATCACCACTGACCTCTGCATGGATTCCTCTAAGGCTGGTCTATTTTCTTACACAGCTGCAGCTACTTTCACATCACTTTGGGAGCTGAAACATAATTTTGTGTCATTCCTGCGCCAGAGTTCTCACATGGGTCCACTWTTCAGGATGGAGAATAATTCTTTTTAACTAAATGAAGTGGTTTATCAAAGTATCTTTTTTAATGCAAGAATGATCAGAGTTCTGAACAGAGGGGGGAAAATTGAAAGGATTGCTCAGGTGGAAGGAAAGTTGTGTGATCTGGATTGGAGAGAATTTGACTGGCTTGGATTTATTCAGACCTACCAGATGGAAATGGGAGAAAACTTCTCCCAAAACTGTTTGGGATAGGGCTGTAGGGAGAAAGCACCTCATGTGACCAGCATGGGCAGCCACAGGAGCTCCGGGAGAAATATTTATGCCAGGTTTAGATTCACCCTCAGTTGTGGTACTTGGAGAGTTCTCCAGCTCTTAGGAATCTGATGGCATTAAGGCATCAGAAGTTAGTCTCAAGGCATAATKTCTGATGTTTTCCAAACAATTTGGGAACTGCAAATCGGTGCAGATTTCTCAGCCCAGTAATTGAGGTGTTGCCTCAGCATTTTTTCTATCAGGATAACTTTCAAAGCCCTTTAGATTCTCTCCCCAAATGCAGCCATCCATCCTCCTCCAAGAAATCCCAGACCTTACTGATTATTACCAATAAAATTATTGATGTTGGAAATGCTGATACAGGAAGATGAGGCTATTTAGGAACGTTTTACCAGATGTTGGTTGAGCGATACTGCATCATTTCATGCGGCACATCGCAAAACCTCTTTCTTCCCTGCTGYGTTAAATTGTTACTTTCCCTGAGGGAGAAACGTGGTTCTTCACAAATCTGGCCTGAGAGGAAAGTGGGGAAAGAGTGTGGGAATAGCAGACAACATCAAGGATTCCCATTTCCCTACTCTCTGCTTCTTGTGAGCAATCTTGCGTGGCTTTTAACCACTGCCACTCATTTTCTGAAGAGCTCTTTCAGTGGCCACATCCTGTGCTGCCTCCAGCTTGGTGACAACACTCCTAAATACTGAGAGCATTGTCAGAAAAATCAGTCTTGGGTTCCTCTCGGGCTGAAAGAACCAATTTACCGCTCTCCTTCAACAGGCATTGGATARTTATAGGAAGCCCCTATGCCATCTCACATGGCTATCACATGCAAAACCCATCTATCCTACTGATGTGCATTGCCTARGCATCTCTGTTTCTCACACACAGAAAGATAAAACACATCACCCCCAACCAGGAAAAAAATTGCTTATTATTTTKACAGCTATTTTTTCATATCCCAATTGAGTGCAGGGGGTAGTTTTAAAGGAAAATATATTTCACGTTTCTCATCAACAARCCAAACAGAACTGCAAGATTCAGAGCAAAACCAACAAATTTATAGCTACTTCAATTTGTTTCAATCAAGTTAAAATATCTGTTCCTTTTCTACCATTTTAAGGAAAACAATAAACACCAGCAAGCAAATACACTTCTGTCTGGCATCACTTACTGGTCAGATTTTATCCCCAGGTTTCTGCATGAGCTTATACAGGGGTCTTTGCACAGAGCAAGCCCACTTTGACATCATCTATCAATCATCAAATCAGAAGATGAAAAACATCAGCCCACCAATGAAACATTTCAGTACAGGCAGCAATTTTGGGGTAGTTTTCTRTTAGGTGTCCGGTGGTCCTGTGCCTCCACTTAGCAATAAAAACAGGAAGCTCCAGCAGGCAAAGGACCCAGTAAGAATGCAGTGCCTGAATTTATGCAGAGCAGGGCATTGCACTATGAATGAGAACCAAAAGGGAATTTAAATTAAATTAAATGGGAAGCTAAGTGGGGAAARCTCTGCATTAGGTCATGGGCAGAACTTCAGTCCTCAGAGAATTCCCTAGCCTCATCTCCATTCCTTGTGGCTTTAAATACGAGCTTGTGGCCACCTGGAGAGCCAGCAGGGCTCCCTGCATGGCAGTGGGGAGAAGCCAGGGCACCACTTCCTTGCCTTTGTGGCTGCAGGTGGCTCATGCTCACACCTGTTTCCTCTGCAGCCTCTCACCTTTCTGGGCAGTGTGGTTGGCAGAAATCAAACAGGGTTTTACCAGGAAACCCAGGTGGCCAGAAAAACAATTGAGGAGATTTCAATTGACCAAATCCTTCCACAAAGCAAAACTGGGAACAAATCTTTTCCGAGCCTTGCTCTAATAAATCCTCAGGACACCACATGCCTGATGCATCCCTGTGAGAGSATTTGCCTCTCTGCAGCCACACAGAAGGTGCAGCATGGAGGGGCAGGGCTGCCTGCTTCTCTCACAGCACATTTTGGAAAGGGAAGCCCCTTGTAAGGCACCTTCCCTGCCCCACAGCTCTGCTGGGCTCGTGAGCTCTTGCACACGCATGGATATTTGGTCTTCTACTATAAAATCATCCTTCTAATCTGCTTGGGCCAGCAATGTCCTCCTGCCCCCTCCATTTGCTGTGATTTACTTTACAGAAGGCTTCAAATTTCAGCCAACACCCATCACAAAATTGGTGGGAAGAACCGTGATTCATGGATTTTTTCAATTAATCAAGTTCTTAATTTTACCCAGGAGGTCATGCCTTGAGATTTTTTCAGACCATCACTAAAGAGAACAAGCTGGCTGCAGCAATAAGCACCATCTGAGAATCCTCCCATAACCCAGGCTGTTTACTTTTCAGTTTCACTCACCATCATCCAAGCACATGTCTCTTTTCCCTCAAATCCTTTCAACTCTTTCTGTCTCTGAAGCTGACTAACGGGGAAAGCTCTAGAGATCTTTGCCTTTAGAGCAGATTCAAGTCCTGATTTCTCTTCTCTCTGTGGAGAACGTACAGAGCAGACTGAGGTCCTTCTACCCCTCAATTTGCCTTAGGAAGAGATGTGTGCCTGTGATTCTTTCCACCTTGGCAATATTGTTTTTTCCCTAAAGACTCAATATTTGGAGCTGGAGTCTTGCAGCAGCACAAGTACTTAACTCTAGGATGGGAGAGCACATCCCAGGAACTTGGTGCCAGCACTCCTYCTGAGATCAGAAGTTCCCCAGCATCCATGCATCCAGCCAGGTGGGAGCCACTGTCATTCCAGAAGATTCTGAGAAACCATGCTGGCTCCAGGTAGAAAAAAAAACAGGAGTTTCAACAATCTACAGCATTTTCCAGTGTGTGACATTTGTGCATGGAAGGACCTTACCCACACAGATGGCCCCAAGCTGTGACTATATCGAGTTACTCACATGACCAAGATTTTGTAGGATCTCAGCCTCAGGGAACCCCAGAGCCCAGCAGTCCTGGRAGAAAGACAAAAAGACTCTCAGAGCTCACATTCAGGGTAGAAACACTACTTACTAGAACAAAGCACAGATTAACTGATACTAGCCCGGAWGACACAGCTCCCAAAGAAGTGCAAATAAAACATTTTTCTGCAGCCAGAACACCATCATGCGATTTGCATGTGGCATCTCTTCCTGCAAGAAGTGTATCTACTCTCTGCTGTCTGCCTCAGAATTCCCCCAGGAAGGCYGGCCTGGCTGGCAGTGGAGGGTGCCTGCCTTCCAGACTATTAAATTACACAGCAGTCAATGCAACTCAAGAATGTACTTAAAAAGAAGTAAACACCTACAGACTGTAATGAACTAGGATGCTGYATTGCTCAGCGCAATTCTTTGGCTGATTTGTTTACCAAGGCACTATCTCAGAGGGGCAGAAATTACAGAAACCTTCTAAAAGCTGCAAGGATGCCTTAAATTAATGGAAGATTGTTGCATTTACAATAAAATTACCACATTTTTAAGACCAAGTTTCTTAGGCCCTTCCAGAGATAATGCACTCAATTTGACTCTTTTATAAACACCTAACCYGGATAAATTAAAAGGAACATAAAAACCAAGATCTTCTTCACTTGCCAATACAAGATGGATTATTGCCCCAGGCCTCAGAGAAAACTGCAGCTTTGCATTCCYGCTTTTAGTTAAGCTAATGAGGAGAAAAAGGAAGAGAATTTTTGAGGTGGGCTCTTCGCGCTTTCATCTGAAAGGTGGTGACTGAGCTGTGCAAAGCTGGTATGCATAGCTCTGCGAGTTCAGTACCTCAGCGCCTGAGTTCCTAGAGACTGCACCACTGAAAGGAGAGGTGAGTTCTTGCTATACCTTCCCTGGAAGCTGGTTAAACACTCAGTTAGCTGAAGGCCCTCCGAAAAAGGAACGTGCCTTTGCATTAGGTAGAGTTTGCAAACGCTTCTCAGTTACCTGTTTTATTCCCCTCTTGTTCCACTGCAAACAATGAAGCTCCTTAGGAAGGCTCAGGGRGCACAGACACTTTGTGCTCGTGACTCTGATGGTTTGGCTGCCCATTCTTGTCACCAGCCACGTGCCAGCCTGCATTCAGTGACTTCATGGTGTGGCTGCTTTGGGGGAGCTGGATGGGGAAGCAGACTGCAGCTGCTTCTGAAGGATATAAATATTTCTTGCAGTTGAGGGGCTCCAGCAGCCCAACAGGGTCAGGGACACCTGGGCGCTATTCCTGGCTCTTCTGCAGACCTGCTGCATTGTTTCATTCTTTCAGTAACTCTAAATGAAGACCTTTTCCTGACAGATTTTTTTTCTTAGGTGTGAGGCTTCCACWTGAAAATCTGAGCCACAGTAAGGAATTTGGGGTGATTGGACCAGCCTGTAAATGCAAGCCTAGGCATTCATTTGATAACAAATCCCACGAAAGCYGTTGCACTGGCGAACACCACGAATGGCTCACAGGCCAACCTTACTCACACCATTTACCAGCTAGCCATCTGCTCCCTTCAGATATTATTTTATAGCTTTCCTTTGTTTTCACCAAGGTTCAAACAGGAATGAAATTGTGGGTCCTGTTGCTAGCCYTTTTAGATAAATAGTTCTGCCATCACTCTAATAAGTTTGACAAGTTGGTCACAGGCCCCGGGCAGGAAGCTAATAAACTTCAAGTTGCTTTTCTATTGTTTTCCTAAAACAATTTGACTTCCTTTCTGATAGCCTCAAATTCCTTCAATAAAAATAGAGTACTGGGAGCCAGAGGAAGAGCTGAACCTGAGCCAAGTTGTGCTTACAATGCCGCCTGCGTAAGATCACTTTTTTATCCCGATGCACGAAGACCCTTTAAAAGAATAGCAGGCAGACAGCTGCCAGTGCATGTCAGGAACAGCTCAGGAGCCAGTCTCCCCCAGCATTGGTCCTCCAGGCTGGAGGGGATCTCCAGCCACTGAGGCCGTGTCAGAGCAAAGGCTGAGCTCCTGGGAGCTGGCTGGGGCTTTGCTCAGCCTGCCTGGAGTGTCCTCTCTCTGACACTTCAGCATCTCTTCTGGGAGCCAAACACTGGCACAGAGGTGGGCTCCAGCAGGACCAAAGGGCTGTGCTAAAGCTCACCCACCCTTCAGTCAACTTTACCTGTTCCTCTCTCTACCTGTGCAGGCTCAGCAAAAGGAGGTAAAGGTCTGTTCTTTCTTTTCTTCTTTCGGAAACATATATATSTATATATCTGTATATACACAACTATTTCTGTCGAGCAGCAATTCATCTAGCTGGAAGTTTGCAGGATAAGATGAATGTCTGGTGGTTAGGTGGTTGAGGATTCCTTGCTTTAAAATGACTTGCTGATCCTTTGGACAAATCCTTTATGCCTGGTTCYTCCACCTGTAAAGCAAGGAGGGTGTTTATAGGAGCTGCAATTAGAWTATCATTTGCAAAGCACTTCTCAACTACTCAGAGATGCTGCAGAGTTGAGAAGTGGAAGCAGGAGGGCTGAGAGGGCTGTACTTTGTTTCCAGTAACATAAAGCTGACAACTGAACATTTGCTTTGGGATGGATGGTAATTTCTCCTCAGTGAGATGAAAACCTCTTCAGGTTTTTCTTGCTGAAAACTTTACTGGCAAATGAGTCTGATGCATGGTGATATTCACACCTTGATGGGTTTTATTTCCTCTCTTATTCTGTGCTAGGATGGCACTCTGGGCTGGGAAGAGGAAAACATCCATCTGTACGGAATAATTTGGGCTTTTTTGCTAAATAGGGAACTGTGACTATAAAACTGTTCTCATTCAGGGGCTTTTGCTACTCCTCTTCCCTTGGGCCCAGCCTGTCCTTGGGAATTTGCCTCCTGCTGGAGGATGCCTTCAAACTGTCTCSAGAGGTCTAATGCATAACAGAGAACTTCCCTCTCCAGTCTTCTCTTTCAATCATACATGCATGGGGATTTGAGATAAAATGTTTCACTGGGAAGGTGAAGCAGCATCCACTGGTGCTTTAGAGAAGGTATTAGAGGTGCCTGTCCAGCATGGAACATTATGAAGAGCAAGAATAAGTGCAGTGCTGTGGCCAGGCAGCAGAGATGAACTCAACCACTGCTGGGTGGTGTTTTTTTCAGAGATTTCCCAATGCAGTAAACCTGATATCCTCCCCAAGGACAAAGTCCTGGGCAATGGCAGGAATGCACAAGAGGTCTTCCCTTCACACAACCCCTTTTCATTTTCACGTCTCAGGAGAGCATCTACCTGCATTTGCAACAGCCTTCCAGAAAAGCCAGATGCTCTGGGAACATCTGTTTTACGTGAAGGAGCTCTTTCATATGTGAGTTCTCATCTATGCTACTGCATATTTGCAGACCTTCTCCGTGCATTGCCTTGGATTGCTCTTTTTGTTTGCTCAAATCCCAGGCACAGAATGAATCCTCCATTAAATATCCATGGGATCGATGCTGAAAAACTCATCACACAAACAACTGCTCCAGATTTACCTGGGTTTTGTATGCAAGGGTGGGAATCTGATAAGGCAATAAGGCAAGTACAGGAAATAGAATGAAAAAGGGACCCTCTTGGCTTATCAGGTTCAATCCCTTTGAATAACAGGCAAGTACAGAACAAATGGCCTTTTCTAAACTTACTAAACTCTGTCCTAAATCTCATTAGGTTTCCACCCTAAGTTGTGCTGCTAAAATGCTGTTCCAGCACCACCTTCCCTGCACTGTTGCTTAGAAACCTTCTGATTTCCAACCTAAATTCATTCATGGCCAATTTATATCTATTTATTCTTGTGCCACATTGTCCTTTAGCTTATGTAGCTCTGCTCTCTCCCGAGCACTTACTTTCCCAACCCCCAATTCCTAAAAGTATTTATAGGCAGCAAATCTYTCCTCTCTTAACCTTTGTTCTGCCAGACTAAGTAACTAAGCTCCTTTATAGTATTCACCCKGCGGACACATCACACCATGGTTTAATTACTTTGTGTAGCTGCACTAGCATGAAGTTCAGTGCAAAATAATTAATGCTGRAAAGCTCAGACTGGTACCACATCTATTTTCAAATCAGCTCAAATATCTCTGCGCAGTCACTGCTGTGACTGATAAATAAACACTCTGCTGGCTCAGAGATACCCTCCATCCCTCTGGCCACCCCACTGCCTTCCTTTGCACCTGCTGCAGGCTGAATATCCTCTTGAATGTGGGTAAGCAGCACTGCGGATGCAATTTTGGAGAAGTCTCTCATCCTCATGGATGACATTACTTTCACTCAGTGCAACTGGAAATACTGCTACRTCCTAAAAGTTCACTTGCCTTTTTCATCCCCCTCTGAACCACAAACTTTCCCCATCTTTCTCCATCTCTCTCCTTGGAGATGGAGACTCCTGTTATTCTTCAAGCAACAAGTTCCTAGTGTGTGACTTTGCATTCTCCCACTTAACCTCATCTTGATCACTCCAGTCACAAAGAGCCTTCAGCTCTTGTAGTGTTGGAATCCACCTCTGCCCTCATGATACCTCCCAGCTTTGTTTCATCAGCAGATTTCATTAGTATTTCTACTTTCCGTGCCAAGGTAATTAACAGAAATATAAAAAAAGATCAGTCCTAAGAGCAATCTTTACGCAGCCTCACAGATAATTTCCCTTCAGCCTATTAAGGAACTGGTGTATCAGTTCTGTCAGTCTCTTAYTCACTTGAGGATTTATTTAATAATCCCTGTCTTCTTCAGCTGAATCTTCTACACTAATTTGCTTCTTCTGGGACACCATATCATAYGGTTTACTGAACTCCAGGTAGATAAGATCTGCTATGTTTCTTTTACCTAGGGGGTGAGGAATCTTAGTCCAAGAAAGCTCTTAACCTTCGATCAAAAGATAGTACATGTTATCTTATTTTCCCTTTCCCTCCCAGCTTTATTTCTGCTTTCTTTCAAAACCCATTGCACAGCATCACAGACTGCTGTGATCTGTGAGCTGCACATGGCAAGCTGTCAGCTGTTCTCCTCATTCCCACTGTCCGAGGGAGCCTTCTCTTCCACTTGCTCTCCTCACTCAAGTCAGACAAGTTTTGCATAGCAGGCTCTTGGGGAGGGGACTCAAAATTCYTCCTTGCTCTAAGAGTGGGCAAACCAGCTATTTCTCTGGCTGAGGAGCTGGGGAAGCTGCCCTGACACCTCTGTTTTCCCTGGAAGAGGTGGCAGTAGAGAAGGGATGCCACACTGAGGGCCTGGCTGAAGTGTCCCTGCTCACTCTTCTGTCTTTTGCCTCCCTGACYGCCTTCTACCATTTCCTTTCCATGCATCAAACTCCAAACAATTACCACCAGCCCCAAAAAACAAAGAGCTCATAAAAGGTACCTTGTGCATCATGCATGTGCTGGACAGAAACCTCCTCCCCTCCCTCATACACTAAGCAGAACTAAACTGTATCTGCTGGACTCAGGATTCCCGCTCAGGAACAACATCTGCACAGGAAACTCAGAGCAGTGAGCAGGGAGAATCAGACCTGATGACCCTCAGTGTGCAGCAAAGTGTCAGCCCCACTGGGAGGTCAGTGCATTTCAGACAGCTCTCTCACAGGACCTGTCTCTCTACAGCATGTGAAAAACACTTGACAAGCCTTATCCCTAGCCTAGCCCAAAGCCATCTGTGAGCTAGACCTGTATGATTAACACCTTTTTTTTGGACACTTCTATGATGAAGTCCTTGACAGTCTCACTGGCATGAAATCAACATGACTTTACATAATAATGCTTCATGGAAATTACTCCAGAAAGACAAAAAACTGGAATAATATTCCCCTTCCCATGAATTTCCATCGCAGATACACAACTGCCACTCAAGAGAGGGAGAAACACTACAGAAACATTTMTATTTTCCTTAAACCCACAGTCAGAAATGAAGCAGCAAATGACTCTAGGTTTCCACAGCAGGAGGTTATTGAGCTGCTGTGAGAATTTACTGTGCACTCTGTGTCCTGCATCCTCACTAACCATCAGGGAGGAAACAGCCCTCTTGGAAAAGAGTTGGACTCTTAACTTCAGAGAGTGGTCACACAGGACATACCCCCCAGGCAGCCTCTGCACAGCACTGTCCCTTTGTAGACTGGCTTTCAACCTTGTGACTAAAGRGTGTACTAAATTAGTGAGAGAAAAATTATTAGAAGAGTTGCCAGTTCTTTGTTTTAGTCCCTGGACTGCTTTTGTTTCATGGTCTGCACTGGCTGATGCACAGGGACCACCAGGACACGTTGTGGGTGGGAGGTATCCAGCCTGGGGAGGATTGCTGCAGGGATAACCACCAAAGCTGGTGTGCAGCCAGTCAGTTCTCAGGTCAGCAGAATCTTCTGTGCAAATCTCACTCTCCTGCCACCGGTTCTTTGAGGCCTTTATCAAAGCCAGAAGGCATCTCTGATTGTTCCTCCTCACTGGGCCACTCCTGATGTGCAGGAATCAGAGGCTCAGCTTGACACACACATGAGATACAAGATCTTCAGACACTGGATAGTACAAAACCTCTCTAAGAGAGGCCCAAATGACCATGATCTGACTGTGTGTGAGGGGAGGAGGTGGTGGAGTGGTGTGACAAAAAACACCTCTCTTGACAGGCACAAAAAACACCTCTCTCTTTTTATCAGTAAGGGGGCATGTAAAAACTCCCTGGGAAACATTTGGTGCCCTTTAGGACATGGCTGCAGCTGTGCTGGGCCCCCAGTCCAAGCCAGCAGAGCAAGTTCTGTGTGATTTGAAGAGGTGGAAGACCCTGCTCCACATGAACTCTGCTTTGCCAGATTAAGCTCGAACGAGTCACAAATATGTCTTTTGTTGATCGAATTGCCCTTCATCTTGCACRGACAAAGCTTTCCAGGATCTGGCTGGTGTAACTGTGGGGCAAGCCTGTCTCTGTTCATTTAGGGGAGGCTTAGTCCATAGAATGCTATTTGTGGGAAGATGTGCAAAGGAACAGCAGCAGCAGTGACTGGAAGGGGCTGCRTGAAACCGGCAGCGAAGGCATCCTGTCGGCATGGGGAGGGTGGCACAGGGAGAGGCTGAGAATGGGGAGGGAGGAATGAGATCCATGGTCTTTAAAGGAAAAAAAAAACAGGAAACCAGGTTTGAAAATAGAAAGATTAGGCAGGAGGGGGTGGGAAAGACAAGAAAAGTAGGTGAAGAAAGAAGAGGGGGAAAGGCAGAGAGGCA